TGGTTGTTATGAGCCGTTCTCTACCAGTGGCTACAGGGGATTCAACAAGGAAGACCTCAAGTTGACATAATTACTTATATTTTCTTCATATCTTAAGAATATTACTCCATAGTTCTTAAATGTAAAGAACACATAGCAGTTATCTCAAACATAACCCCAATTGCACAAATATTCCTAAAACTCCTGGAATACATGACCATCAGGTCCCTTTTAAGCAGAATTCACACAGGACCACTGCAGGGCTCAATAATGGCCAAGAAAACAGAATGGAACAGAATCATATTGTAACATCTGGGTGTACCTTTCTGCCTCAAGAATTAATTAAACTGTGCCTGCCCTTTGAACACACATACTTGAGAAGTGTGAGAAATAGCCTTGATTTTCACATAACAGGAGAGGGATATCTATCTTTATTGCTGAATTTCTGGCCATATTTCATGTAATAGATTTATCAACTTAATGAGAGATTGCTTTCTGTTTTCCTATATTTTATTTCAAAGCGATTTAGTTCCATATTAGATTATAAGCCTTTTGAAAGGAGGACTAAATCTTACATGGCTCTTGTCTCATGTGGATCCGGGGTTGAGAACAAATGCTGTAGACCAGCACATGATTGCATGAAGCTGGGCCTGAAATAGACCAATCAGAATCAGATTGTGAGGCCTTGAATAACATGCTCTTGAGTTTGTAATTTATTCTGTAAAAAATGAAGGGCCATAAAGGGTTTTTAAAATTCATGGGTATCATGATCAGGTCTGTTTTAGAAAGAAACTATGATGACCGAATAGAGGACAAACTAGAGGAAGAAGAGGTCATAGGGAAATTCTGACAATACTTGAAACAGTCCTAGTGAGAGATAATTAAGCCTGAACAGAGCCTGTGGCAACGTAGAGAAGGGGCCAAAACTGTTTAGAGAAACCCTGGTTATCTACAAATGAACTGTGGCAAATGGTGATGCCAAATGCAGGGGTTTGAGAGACAAGGAATCAAAACTGGTTCTAGGTTTCTAACTTGGAAGATTGGCTAAGGATGACACTTTCAACCAGGGGTAGAGATTCTTATTAAGGATGTTCAATTGCAGTTGGTTGAATAGTCATAGGGGTATCATAGAAAAGATTAAAGCTCTGAAGAGACGCATTAAACTAAATGGTTTTAAAGAACATTTCAAGTTTGAAATTCTACTGCTCTCCTGCATAAAGTTATTAACTCGTTGAAGGCAGGGTTTGCATTTTCATTTTTGTGTTCTCCACAATGCATAGCATTTTGTAGGGGCTGAAGTGTATCTGATGAATGAAAAAGTATGAGATTAAAAGGACATTTCTAATAGGCTTCCTGACAAGCAGGACTATTTGAGTTTCCATCTTACTGTCCTACTTACCTTTATTTCACATTATTCTGAACAATGCCTATAATTTCCATGTAACACAATTGCTTTTATGATCCAATGCACAAACCAAGTTCTTTTTCTTTATCTATAAATTTGAGCTGTTGCTGCTAATAATAAAATAATAATAATAATAATTCCATCTTTATAGGGTTATGTGAGTCCATACAGTCATCACCACCCAAAGGGCGTGAAGGCAAAGAGACACTTGAGCACCACATTTCACCCAAATTACTGCGGATGATGTGGATGTGGCCACATTCAGCTTTCATTCAGTCCTGCATAGCCAGATAAGCGCAGATGTTTGGTATTTGCTGCTCTGAATGTACTGTCAGTAACCTAGTAGGCCAAGTTAATATTAGCTCGCGCTGGGTATATGTGAGTATTTTGTTGCTGTTTGGAGAAATGACCAGTTTACTTGGTTATATTGACAGCTCTACTGTAAAATTTGCTGGCATTAAAGGTCATAAAAAACCAGTTTTCCTCTGGTTGCTTCTACCCAAAAGAGAATAAATCTGGAGCTGAATCACTTCTCTGACAATAATTTATGAATCGTGCATTGACTATGTTTGAATTGAGAAAGGCTTTCATATCCTTTCCATTAGCTCAGATTAAGTTTTCATATAGATGCTGAGAAGCATGCTAGCAATATCCTTAGCTCATTTTTATGAAAATTTTATCAGTGCTTTTTTCTGTACTACACTCCAATTGGGATGTCTCAGAATCTAAAGCTCAGCTTTGGACATGAACTTCTCTCAACCTGGCTGGCTGCTGCTCTAAAGGTTTCAATATTTTATGGGCTCTGGCTAACTCAGCCGTGAGATTCAAGCTGCAGAGATTTAACTCTAATGTAAAATCATGAACGGATGAAAACTGGGATGTCATAAGTAATACATCTACAAGAGCAGGATGCAGTTACCATTTTTAAAAGGGCTTTAAAAAGAAAACAACATTCTCTGTTCTGCCTTTATGCCCCAAAATGAAAAGCCCCTGAGCTATTGTACTAACACAGGGCCATCTTTTCTTGCCTCCTTTTCTTCAATTGTTGCTTAATTGTTGTGGTGGGCTGGGGTTTTTTTTTCCCCCGAAGGTCGCCCCATCCACATGAAAGCCCCTAATGTCTGCATTCCAGAGGAATGGGCACTGCGTGGTCGAATGTGTATAGGCCAAATCCATTTCTCAGCATCTTCCTCTTTTTGTCTCAAAACTGATTTAAAACATTTGGAAAATCTGTCTATTCAGCTGAAGTGTTCCACTGCATTCTTTCCTGGAAACAGTGGGGTCACATGTGATCTGTCTGATGGACTTTTCTGCTGCAATCTATAGCCATTTCCCTCGAGCCCCGCAGAGCCTGGCAAAGCCGAGGAGCTCTGTAATGGCTCCAATAACAATGTGTTCTTTGTGTGAAAGAATCCAGGGGGAAGAGCTGAAGTAGACTGGTCAGTAACAAAAAAAAATCATTTTTGCACTCATTTATTTCTTCATTATGTGCTTTGCCATTAAACATCCTTAATAGTAAATACACCTTTCCCTAAAACGCTGCCTGAGCATGAAAAGAAAAAGTACGGAAAGTTCTATTTTTTAAAAAAGGCTATTGTCATCATTGCTAGTTGTTAATCTGCTTCTAATAAGATGGCTGATGGCAGGAACTGCATTGCATGTGTCTGTACTTGTAACAGGAGAGATAGTTTCTAGACAGAGCTTAATTCATCTGCTCAAAAATGTCACCTGATGGATGCATTGGAATAAATCCATCTTTTCAATGCCCCATTGAAATAACTACAGAATCACAGAACTGGAAGAGATCAAAGAAATCAGGTGGTGTGCCCATTCCCTTCAGGGAGCTAGATCTCCCACCAAAGGCAAAAAGTTACTGTGCTGGTCATTACAGCTTCAGGGACCCCACAATCTTCCTCAGAGCCTTCCCAGGACCCCATCATGTTGAAAGGTGCTGTTCTGCCCTTGCATTCAAGAGAAGTTTAAACTATTTTAATCAAAACCCAGCTTCTCTTGTTTAGTTAGCTACTGATAACATAGAAAACAATGCTTTCACAGAAACCTCCTCATATCCTTGAAGACAATCATGAAGTTTCCCCTCTGACCCTATCTTCTGTAGGATAAAACCAGCTTCTTTAGCGTATTATATAATGGGCACTTCTCATCTATTTAATCAGTCCTGGAGAGTTGTAGCCTCAAAAGACACTATAATGTTTAAAAATTATTAAACAAATTAAAATCGGGGTATTTTGCTAACTAAATTGGTAAGATATCTATATATCTATAAGTATATCCATATATGCCCATTGTTGGTATGGGTGAGAAATGAGACTTCTCATATGAGGCCAGAGGGCGGATGAATTGGCACAGCCTATTTGGAGGACAATTTTGTACCAGCTATCAAGAATCGTCAAATATGCATGACCTTTGACCTAGTAATTCCACTTCCAGCAATTCATCTTAAGAAAATAATCAAGAATATGGGAGAGATTAAACTACAGGAAACACACACAGAGTATAAAATTCATTTTGTTAAAATAAAAATAATAAACTACCCAACACTTATTATGTATCTAGTCTATGCTCTAGGCACCAAGCTCGGCACTCTCTGCATATTATCTTATTTAATCCCAAAAATGAACCCATGTGTTACTTCTTCTTCTTATTATTATTAGTGGTAGTAGTAGTAGTATCAACCTTATTTTACTGGAAAAAAGTTAAGGCTTAAATATTTCAAATAATCTTTCAATCAAGAAAGTAGGAAGTGGCTGTACTGGGACTTGAAACTATGTCTCTTAGATGACAGAGGCTTGGAGTCTTTAACAGTATGTTATACTGTTTATATAAGCATATGAAAAGACTGGAAGTTAATAATCCAAAACACTAACATTTGTTATTCTGAATGTTGGGATTATTATTGATTTTTTCTTTTAAGTTACCTAAAATAAACATACATTTCTTTTCTTTATTTCAAGACACCTAACATGAATGTACATTTCTTTTATAATGGGAGAAAAAATATACTGTAACTTGGTACATCTCTCACTGACCCTTTCCCATTCTATCTCTTTCTCTGTCTCACACACACACGCATGTTTCTTGTCATTTATTCTTCAAACACACATTTTTTTTCAACCTTCAAAATTTTTGTCTTCATCATCCTCTCTAGGGCGTGTGCCTCTCTAATGAGGCTCTGAAAGATTCTACTAAATGTAGAAGAGCCTCAGTTCTTGCCTCTGAAGGCCATATTAATTTTTCTTTTCTTACCCAGGTGCCAATTAACATAGCTCTATTAGAGATCATTACTACCAAAGCAATCATATAGCCCTCAGTCTAAAAACAAATCATTAGTATAATCTCAGTCCTGTTTTTAAGCCTTGTTTATAACTGCTAAGGATGTGAGTGCAAACTTCTCTCTGAAGGTGAGCTACAATTTTTCCTGTTCTATTCATAATCAGCACAACTGGATGTTTGCTGCAGTCATGGGGATGAGGATATGAGGATGATGATACACGAGATCAGCAAAGCCAGGGTTCATTGTGCCACCGTCATGTTGCCTGCAACAAAATGCAGCACGGACTATTTTAACTTGAAAGGAAGTAAATCCATATCTGGGAGCCACATTTTTTAAATTGCTCTATGAATTTATTATTAGCTATTATTAATGCAGAACAAGGGGACAAAAAGCTCACAAACACTCTACACAATTTCAGAAGACACATTGCTGGGGAGAGAGAGAGACTGAGATGGATCAACAGTATGCTAGGGTCTTGGTGGATGCATTCCTGGGGGAGGTGGACCTTTAATGCCTGGTGGAGGGGGTCTCATTCCTGGAGGGGGCATATCTATTGGCGTCCCTCGAACAGGGGGAAGCCCAATTGGTGGGCCCATGGGTGGTCTCACACCAGGTGGAGGAGCCATAATACCTGGAGGCGGGATTGCTCTCCCGACAGGTGGGGGCGGAGCCCCCCGTCCTGGTGGGTTCTGTGTTGGGGCTCCAGCAATGCTGGCAGTCGCAGCAACAGCAGCAGCTGCTACAGTGCCTCTTCCCTGTGGAGTCATTACCTGCTGGGACGGGCCCCCAACTCCTCGGACAGGGCCTGCTAATCCAGCAGGGGCCTGGGGAATTGGCACACCAGCTGGTACTCCTCTACCAGCTGCCCTACCAACCCCAGGGCCTTCTGCAGGGAGCCATATTTTTATCCCTATTCTTTCAACAAACATTTATTGAGCAAGTATTATGTGTCAGGCACTATGCTAGACATTCAGTCTACAAAGATGAATAAAGCATAGTCTCTGCCCTAAGGGAGCTCGTAGTCCAGGGGAAGAGAGACTAAAAGCATAATTTGGGGCCTAACTGTGAAGAACTTTGTTAAAAAGTTTTGACTTTATACTTTGGGTGTGGAGAGTCCTCAGATGGTTTTCAGTCATGACGTAATGTAAGCTGCTTACCATAGAAGTACCATGATAAGGGTGTAAAAAATGAAGTCGACTCTGAGAGACCATTGGACAACTGTGGAATGTTCTTTTACGCCAGTTTGAACCAGGGCAGTGGGGATAGCAATACATATTTTGTATATTGACTTGGCAAGTCTCCCTGCTCAATTTGGAATTAAGAAGGGGCATGTACAGTGAGGGAGTAAAAATTATGTTTGTCTTTGAAGCTTTTAACTTGAGTGACAATAAATGGTAACACTATTCACCAAGAATGGAGATACAGAAGAAAAGTTCATAACATGTTTCTGGAAATGCTAAGTTTGATTTTCTGAAGAACATTCTATCAAGATTTTTAGAAAGAAATTGAGAATTTGTATCTAGAACTCCTAGGAGAATTTGTCGACAAGATGTTTTGTGATTCTGTCATACAAATGTGAATTCAGCCATCAGGAAAGTTGCATTTTGCATTGTGTTTTTTCCTTCCTTTCTTCTGAACATGGAACCCAAAGTAGGTTTCAGAGCATGCAAACCCTTTAGATTCTCCGTGCTTCCACCCTAAAATGCTGATGTAATCTGGCATGGTTTTCTAATCACTTATTTAATCGTCTGCAAGCTTCTCAAGGGCATAGACTATAGACAATGAATTGGCTGACTGAGTCATGGTAGCATGAGTGAGGGAATGGGAAACAAAGAGTCACTGAAAACTCTGCAAGTAGCAAACAAAAGAAGTGTGGCCTGCAGACACCTTCAGGGCAGGGAACAGTGAGCCCTCCTCACAGCCTCACTATACCATGGTTCCATCCTTGACAGTTGGTTTCTCCCTCTTTCTAATCCCCCAAAGCAATTTGTTGCCAAGGTATTTTATTATTTCAGGCTAATATCTTCTCATATCTGTATTACCACTGCAACATCCCAGTGACACTTCTTGCATCCTCTAAATCAGGGTATCCAATCTTTTGGCTTCCCTGGGCCACACTGGAAGAAGAATTGTCTTGAGCCACACATAAATTACACTAATGGTAGCTCATGAGCTTTAAAAAAAAATCGCAAAACAAATCTCTTAATGTTTTAAGAAAGTTTATGAATTTGTGTTGGGCTGCATTCAAAGCTGTCCTGGGCCACATGCGGCCCTGAGGCCCTGGGTTGGACAAGCTTGCTCTAAGTCATTATCCACATCAATACAGTATTTCTGCAATGCACATCTGATCTTGCCATTCCCTTGCTTAAACCATGTTAATGGCTCCTATTTCAATCAGAGTAAAAGGCAAACTCCTTAGGCTTATGATAGGGCCTGACATCCAAAACCCTTCTGTTAACCTCTCCTGCCTTATCTCTCTTACCACTTAGCCTCCTTTTTCCTTCTTCCCTGTTCACACTTTCTAGGCACATTAAACCATGTATGACTCCATGGGCCGTCTCGTTTCTAACCTCAAGACTTTAGCACATGCTGTTTTCATAGACTGGAGCCCTGTACCTTTCCTCAGCCTGACTACCTTCTGCTTAGCCTTCTGGTCTCTGCTTCATGATCACCCCCACCCACGGGAAGCTTTCCCTGAAACTCCAAATCTTAGTTTCATGCCCCCGTATGTCTATTCATGGAGCCCTATGACTACTCTCATTGCAGTACTTTCCATACGGCACTGCAACAGCCTGTGGTCCTGTCTTCCTCCACAGATTGTACTTCTTCTTTGTCATTTCCCCAGCACTAATACAGTGCCTGACCTATAATATGGTGCCTGCAAAGATCTGGTGAATGAATGAACGTCCTGCAGGGATGGAGAAAACATGAGCACGTGGCCTGGAAGAAGAGGTTTCGTGCTTTCTCTATATCCTGTCTGGCATGAGCCAGCAAATGAGGTCAACGTTTAATCAATTGATCCACTAAGTACAGTTAAACTATAGCTTCTCATACGGAGTCAGAGATGAAAGAAAACAAGTTGGAATTTTCCTCAGAAAAAGGGTAAGCACTGATATTTCAAAGAGGAGATTCTTAGATGAAACATACCCATCTCCTGGCAGGTGGGATGTTAAGGGCATCCCTGATAGCAACAAGATGGAGCCCAGGGCTTGCGTGCATGTTCTCTCTCTCTCTCCTCTCTCTTTCTCCTCTGTCTCTCTCCTCTCTCCTCTCTCCCTCTCTCTCTAGCTCTCGCTCTCGATCTCACCCTCCACTCTCTTCTTGCCCAAGCAAAACAGTCTTAAGAGAAGGGAAGTGCAATTACACAGTGTCTGTTTAAAATTTAAGAGGACAAAAATGAGTTGAGGGTTTTTTTTTTCCTTTTTGCAGGAAACAAATTAGCCCACAGTAGACTTGTGCCTGCAAGGAGCCCATTTAATTTGGTTATTTCCTACACCTTGAGGCCAGCTTTTTCTCACTAATTCTGCCAACCTTTTTCCATATCAGGGCTTATCTCCTTGTTGTATCCAGAATCATATGACAAGCAAGAGTCCTAGATATATTTTATCTACCTAATCATCCCACTGCCTTATTCCAGAAAGAATCTAAGGTAATGAGTCATTTTTTATAAGCACAGTCTCTCTCCTCAATTGATGCCCAATGGTTTCAGCCAGTGCTTATTAAAATTTCATTAAGCATCTAGTTAAAAATCAATTGTTAATGTTCATACTTCTAATATGCTTAGGATATTGAGGACATGGAGCCCAAAAAATGACCACACAGCGAGTGCCTGCTCCTGCTCTCTTGTTGTGGAAGTTCTCTGTGCCAGCTTGAGCTGGCAGTGGAATTTGGATCTCCAGCCTGAGCTCCAGGATCATGTGCCCAACTGCCTACAGGAAATTGCCATTTGATGTCTCCACAGTCATCTAAAATTTGAGATTCTTGAAATTTAGCTCACTATCTTTCTCTCATCACAATACAGGGACTAAGAGCACAGAATTTGGTGCCAGACTGCCTGAGTTCAAATCCTTGTTCTAACACCTTAGCAGTTGCAAATGGGCAAATTACTTAATCTCTCTGTGACTCTCTTTCTTCACCTATAAAACATGAATACCTACATCTATTTTCTATTCTCTGCATTCTTTGTCGACAATTCTCCTCCCTCTCTCCCTAGGTCTAGCTTTTCTCAAAACCCCACAGTGCCTTGTACGTGCCTCAATCACGGTCCTTACTACCATTCATGGCATTTGTCTGTTTACTTAGCTATCTCCTCTCTCCTGTGATTTTCTTGATGATGGGTCTGTACGGTATGGTTAAGATGACAAACTCTGGAGTCATTCTGTCAGGTTTCAATTCCCGCTCTATCACTTCCTAGCTGTGTGGTTTTAGGTAAGTTACCTCATCTCTCTGCACTTTCATTTTCTTACCTATAAGGGTAATAAAAATACCTACTTTGTAGGACTGTTGTGAAAATTAAGTGAGTTGCTTCATGAAAAGTGCTTGATTCTCTTTCTGCCACAAAATAAAATATAAATAAATAGAGTTCATTATTACTGTTATTATTATTAAACCTGACCTATTATTAATTGGGACCTCAAACAGTGCCCAGCAAAAAGCTGGTAACTTAAAAATAGGTATAAAGCTAAGAAAAGACATAATGCTCCAACTTGAGACAGATTTAGCTCCTCCTCACTGGGCAGCAAATGTCTGCAGAGCACCCCGGCCTCACTGTCCCACTGCTGCCTCATCCTCAAAGGGAGGCCCTCAAGGACTGTTGCCTAAGACGCTGCGCAGCGTGTTGCAGAAGGAAGGGTGGGCACTAACCTCTGATATTCTGGACAAATTACTTAACATCTCCAAGTTTCCTCATCTGTAAAATGGAAAATAATCATATCTACTTTGCAATGTGTAAAGCAATTACTCCTGTCCTGGCATTAAGTAGATAGCATCTATTAAAGTTAGAAAAAAAGACAATTTCTCAGCATTATTGCAAAACCATTCTAACTAATCAAAACTTATGCGAAACTCAACAGAAGAAGGTAGTAATGGTGAATATTGGCACAATGTTAATAGGGAGGGGGAAAGGTCATTAAAGAGAGCTCCAAATATATGCTGGAGATGAGGAATTGATACAAATCTTTTTGATATTTTTCTGAGATCCTGGAAAGAAGGATCTTGAACAAGAAGTATCAAGTGGAAGAGTATAGATCATTTACAGCCTGTTCGGGTGTCTGTCTTTGATTCATGCTGGGCCAGCCTCCTACAATAGATGAACTACACGAATAACCATGATATTCCACCTGCCTTTACTCTAGGTTAGCCAAAGGGGTTGCTTTGCTGCTATGCACCTGATGCCAAGCCCAGAACCTGGCATGTAGGAAGTAGTCAATAAGTATTTGTTGAATTGTTGCAACCTCTTTTAAAAAGTCCTATTTAATACAAAACATCTTTAAAGTGTATTGACATCTATTATCTCTTTTATCCACTGCTGAATATTTTAGCCTTCTAAAATTCATTGCCTTCTAGGCTACTAATATACTTCTGTAGGTTCTGTTCAAAATCAGTTCTCCTTCCCCGTATTCCAGATTCAACAAACTGGTACCTGCAGACAACCAGTTGAACAGGTTTAAAACTTCGGTTAGCCACTCCTCTGAATTATGGTTTCAAATATTTCAGTGTCTTCCCAGTATTGCTGTTTGGATGTTATGCCAGTCAAGCTCCCTGAAGGTAACGCCCTTATTCTCTCCATCCTGGAAGCTCCAGCCTACTTGTGGGAGGGGCTTCCACCCTCAAAGTATAGGCTTCTCTCTCTTAGCATCTCCCAGGCAAATTCTCCTCAATGACATTAAAATAAGTATAAAAAAATAGGTGTTGGTTTTTCCCTACTAAA